TATTATAGAATATGATGTTATTTTAAGAATTGTTAATGTGAAAGGATTTGTGAAAATAGTCTAGATATTTTTGGTATTACTTTAACCTCAACAGGGATTCAAAGGAATGACACACATACATCCTCCAGCGATGACATTGAAGAAGTTTTTATACAAAGCATTACCAAAGCTTGCTTTGTCGGAGGAAAATGAGATATCAATATCATTTGTGTTGTATCTTCAAATAATTCAAGTTTGTCCTCATCAAGGGGAGTAATTCATCAGCAGGAGGATTCAACAATTTTCTACATATAGGACATATGTGCGCTGTACTCTTTTCCCCTGGACTAGGTTTTGTCCCACTGGGTTTTTCCTATTAAGGTTTTAACGAGGCAACATAAGCACGTCCAACACCATATCAATGATCCAGAAGAATGTTGCACTCTTTTTCCCTTTGCTTAGGTTTTGTCCCACTGGGTTTTCCTAGCAAGGTTTTTAATGAGGCAACTATGTCAATTGTATGGTGGACATCCAAGGGGGAGTGTTGTAAATGCATGAGTTGGTGGATGACCACCATACCTCTTAGCATTCACCCTTTCTAATTCTATGTAACCTATACACTAAATACCATGGTAATGGGCTTGTAACTTATGAGTTGTTAATGTCTTCTTACCATTGTAAGCCTATAAATAAAAGGCCTTACCAAGATGAGAGAGACAAGTTGATTGAACAATTTCTATTGTCTTCACCTACTTTCCAATTCTCTCTACAATTTCCCTTAGTTATATAACAATAATGAAATTGATATATGAGAAATAATAAAACAAAATGTCAAAAACCTTGGGCGACAAAATATTTCGTCGCTCAAACTATTAAACTAATTTATTTTAATTAAAAATTTTTAAAAAACAAAAATTAAAAAAATTGAATATTTCGTCGCGCAAAGATTTGCGCGACATTAGGATTCGTCGCGCAAAAAAAAGATTATTCGTCGCGCAAAATAATATTATTCATCGCGCAAAGTATCTTTGAGCGACGTTAGTATTCGTCGCGCAAAGTTGTTATCGTTCGTCACGCAAAGTATCTCTGCGCGACAAAAAATATTTTTCGTCGCGCAAAACCTTTCTTTACTATCTTTGCGCGACAGAACTTGTGCGACCAAAATTTCGTCGCGCAAACTTTGCGCAACAAAATTGTACTTTGCGCAACAAAATTATTTCGTCGCGCAAAGTGTTTTTTGTGGTAGTGTTAGTACGTAGGCTGTCACATTCGCACAGCTTTAATTAATTTTCTAGAATTTCTCTGACTCTGGAGGTTTAAGATAAGCCCATTTGCCTTAATCATACATGTTAAGGACTAATTAATCATTTACAAATACGAACTAGTTGTTCCAAAACAATTACTGATGACTAATAAAGAACGATAAAATGCTTAATTAAGCATGTTTAGTTAGGCATTAAATCGCATTATTCTGACCACACTACTAAAAAAACACACACTAGCCACTAACATGATTTTGTCTCCTAAGTTGATTTTAGAGACAATAAATTGTCTTCATTAAGCAATAGAGACTATGCAGCGACTATTTTTGTATCAGTATCCTAGTTTGGGGTTGCTATTGCTTATTAGGTACAATTTTGGGAGTCAGTCCTTCAATATTTTCAAATAAACAAATACATGATCAGCCAAGCCCAGCCATATTGAATTCTTCCAAGCCGTGGTGTCTTGGGAGAGGGTCTGATATTTGAGAGGCTATCTTCTAAATTAGGGACTAATGACATGTCAGTATCTCATTACTTTATTACATATGTTTAACTAATAATACAATTAAACCCATCAGTCCCCAATTCCATATATCCAAAAAAAAAAAAAAAATCCAAATTTATGCACCATTTCTCTGAATATTAATTCCTAATTTTCAAGTTGGATTTTTGGGTTCGAATCACTCCTACAAAAACTGCAAGCCATATATGCAACAATTCCTCGTCCTCGAAGTCAACCATTTCTTAGAGGATCACCAACCATTTGAAGCCACAAACCTGAAGAAAATAAATTCAGAAAATCCCCATATGAGCAGAGAATCATATACCGAAAACCCTAAACTTTCTTTTGACAAAAAATTAAAAAAAACCCTAAACTTTATTAGAAATATATATTATATCCAACTGTAAATGAGCCTTACAGTATTTCCTTTGGATCATTAGGTGATCCTGGCGTTTTCTCCTTTTTGATCTAGGGTTGCTCCAATTGTGTGAAGGAGCTGAAAAAAATAATGAACAGGTTAATGTAACTAAACTAAAACCAACTTTTATACAAAATAATTATATAAAAAATTTCTTACAAAGATTTTGAAGCTCCTCTGTTCATGTGCTTTCCAAGCTCTCCATTGCCTTTCCTCAAAAATTAAAAAAGAAAAAAAAAAAAAGCATTCAGTAACAGCCATATATAAATCAGACCAAAGTCAAAATCAGATGCTGGAACCAAAATAAGTAAAGGCACACAGAAAAAGAATGATATTATGATTTTTCAATTACCAGTTCATCAGCGCCTTCTTCCATAACGAAACCATCACGGTATTTGTCCCAAATTTTCTCTCATCGACTTCCAGATAGGCATCTTACCAAGTCACACTGCTCCAACTGTTCAATTTCCAGATCGGGATCTCAAGCCGCAAACTAGTATTTTGTGACCAGATGGCTTTGTGATTCACGCAAAAAGAAAGAGAAAAGAGAAGAGAGAGAGAGAGAGAAGTGAAACAAAGCATTCTTTTTTCTCTCTTTTGCTTATGTCCAAGTGTTTGAAGTTGAGAAATAAAAAATGTGTTTTAACATTGGGCTGTGTGAAAATATCCAATGGGAGAAACTACCAAAAGCAATCAGTATCCAAATTTACGAAAATTCTGTGGTGCATCGACTGTACCGGTACAGCCGCCTATCCAAGGGCTGAGTTTGCATGTTAAAAATGGATGGCTGAGATTCAATGACTTAGTAACCTGTTGAGCCCTTTGTTATTCAACACGTGAATCGCATGTGACTCTGAGAAAGGCAGGTTTGGAGGATGAAGACGACGCGCTCTCTCCAAATCGAAAATCCCAAACACTCTCAAATCTGCAACTTCTCTGCACACGCCTTGCTATCTTTCCCAATTGTTTTCCAAATCTCACCCAACACTCATTGACTTCTCTCTCAGGAAGCTTATCTTCCCCACTCTCTCAGTCCAAGTGAGAAACTGTGAGAGACTGAGTTATGGAGAGGCAGAGAAGTTTCTCCTTCAAACCCACTAGATTCTTAGTATTTTCTTTTACCATCTCTTCCTCTGTCATTATTCTCACTTTCTTTACCATGTGGATCATCAAAACAACTCCTTCAGTACCCCAAGAAACCCGTCTCCAGTTCAACACATCCTCACTCGTTTTGGGTTTCAAACCCATAGCTGTTCAGACATTGACTGGTTTCAGTAGGAATTTTTCAGTAAATGGTCTTAAAGATTCGATCTTGAAGGGTACCCGTTTGAGCAAACCTGAAAATGCTTCTGGGTTTTCTGGGATTTCACTTATTAGTGGGTTACAGTTACAGAGGAAGGAGAACGAATCCCAAGTGCCAGAACACGAAGAGGAAAAAGGCGGTGAGTCGGATGGTAATTTCCCAACAATTGAACACAGTGCACCTACTACAATCCTATTTGTGAACATTGAGAGGACTGCAGAGAAAAATGCTGCAATGAATAAGACTGAAGTCACAAGTAAAAAGAGGATTGATGACAAGAAGACTAGAGGAACTTCATTTGAAATACTCAAATTTCAAGTGGCGGCAGGTTGAGAACAAGAGAGTGAGAGGATGCGATTTTACCAGAGGGAGGTGGGTCTACGATGAGAGATATCCTTTGTACACAAATGGTTCCTGTCCTTTCATAGATGAAGGTTTTAATTGTCAGGGTAATGGAAGATTAGATAAAGATACATGAAGTTGAGATGGCAACCACAAGATTGTGACATTCCAAGGTAATTCCTCCTCCAATCTTTTTATTTATTTGAAAAATCAATTCTAGCCATGTATGTATGATGAATTCTATAAATGCAGTTAGATTGCAGTCGTGATTCTTGAACTACTGCAATCTAACTGCATTTATAGAATTCATCATACATACATGGCTAGAATTGATTCTTGACTAATGCATTTATGTTGGAACTGATCAGAGGGAACTGATCAGAGGGAAAAGACTAGTTTTTGTGGGCGATTCAATCAATAGGAATCAATGGGAATCCATGCTGTGCATGTTAATGGGAGCTATCAAAGATCCAAATAGGGTCTATGAGACGCATAGGCGCAGAATCACCAAAGAGAAGGGGGATTACAGTTTCAAATTTGTGGTAATTCTTCACAGTTGTTCTCTATTGTTGTTTCATTTGCAGGTTACTCAGTATTTAATTTCTGAAGAAGTTTGTTTTACAGGATTACAAGTGTACAGTTGAATATTATGTGTCCCATTTCTTGGTTCATGAAGGCAAGGCAAGAGTAGGGCAGAAGCGGGTGCAAACTTTGCGAATTGATTCCATTGATCACGGCTCATCTATATGGAGAGGAGCTGATACAAAACTAAAGCTGGGCCAGTTCCATTACTGAATTATTACTCTTTTTGAAGTCTGATGATGTGTTAAAACTAAAAAGTGACATGCTCACAGAATACAAGGGATACATCTCATATAAGTAGATATTTCTTGAATTGGAACCCTGATTTGGAGCTTATAACAGGATTAATTACTATCAGGAAGGAGGCTAAAAAGTGACATGCTGAGATTGAATGACTGAATAACCTATTCAGCCCTTTCTTATTTAACCTCATGTGAGCCACACGTAATTGAGGAAAGGAAAAAAATCCAGATTCACATGATGCGTGAGTCACACTGGCGTCGTCTCCTCCACTTTTCTGATAAATGAATAGGCTTGACCTCAACCACCGCTGACTGCTGATAGCAACCATGTGCCTGCAACGAAATCGATGGCGAATTTAAGCCCTAGGTTCTTGTTCAGCAACGGTGTCGTTTCACAGCCTGCCAACACACCGATAACAAGCTTCCTCCCAACGCACCCAGGTACACCATTCCAACACCATTCTCTCTGCTCCTCTGTTTGAAATTCAAATTCAAATTCTATGCTAATATTTTAACTTTGGGTCCAAAAGTTTTAAAGCTCAACCTTTCTTACGTTAATTTCAAATTTTTTTTTTCAAGTGGGTTCAAGGCGAAAATTTATAGGTTTGTTCAATACTTGAACCTTTTTGGAGTTGCTATTGGCCATGGGTAAGTTTGAGTGTTTAAACCTGGGTAAGAACTTGGTGATGGTGTTTGCTTATATGTAATTCAGTGATATAAATTATGCTTTTGGCTAATGGGGTTTTTCTTCTTCTTTTCTTTTGGATGTTGATTGTGATTAAATAGGGAAATAAAGAGGTCTAACTGTTTCTACAAGAATGGTGTGACACAACACCATGCCATGTAAACAGCAACCCTTATATGATGGCTTTTGGCGTAGCAAATTATCTTCTCTAAAATTCCAAACGTACAGTTATGGTGGCTCTCTATTGTTGCTGCAGTCATGTCCTTCACTTTACTCCTCAATTGCCAAAGTTGCAGCTAAAAACTAATAGCAGCATATACGTTTTATACTGCTAAATTGATGATTTTAAATCTTAGTTTTTAGGATTAAATTGGTTTTGGTAAAGTTGACTTGTGATTTTTTTTAAACTTTATTTTGGCTTGCGTCAATTTCAGAAACTGGAAGTATCAAGGGAACTATGACTTGGATATGCATTGGAATTGTGACACAAATCCAAAAATATTTGGAGGAGCTCTCAAGCACTTGGTGACAAAGCTTTTGCCTACTCTTGCTCTTTGAATCTCAGAGTTGGTGCTTTCTTAGCTATAGGATATGAATACCGTTATTAACATTTCTATAACATTTCTTATGTGCAATTGCATACAATGTTTGTGAAATTGCATACATTTTATGCAATTTTTGACCCATGTATACAATTACCAATAATGTGTATGTTTAAAGCAATTTTTGACCCCTATATGCAATTACCGATAATGTGGAGCGGTCGACTCAAATGCTAGAGTAATCTCTCTCCTCTGTGAGAGTTTTATTCTGTTCTTATCTTACATTTCCTTGTGCAAAAATAATTTACAAATTTTCAAAGAAAAGTATAGTATTTTTAGTAAGTTTTATTTGTTCCATAATTTTTTAAAATTTTATAATTATCAAATCGACCTCCTCACAATTCTTAAAATTTTAAGCTAAAACTAACCTTGGCAAGCTACTCTAATTCTTGAACTAGTAGTTCTCATCATACGAGTCGTCCATGAGGTTAATTGGCTCGTTCCTTAGGTAAATTGCACATAAGAGGTATTTTACTCAGAAAATGTAAAGTGTTCGTTCGATGAGTAAAAGATATCGTTGGATTGGTAAAGAAGATTTCTTTGTCAATTTACTCTAGGAACGATCACGTTTACTCAACAGCCAAACCCCTTACGTTCATCGGATAAAATACCACGTTCATTGAGTAATTTACGTAAAGAATGAGGCGATTTACCTCACGAAAGACAAAGAGGTAAATTACTCAACAAGTCTACAAATGAAAACACACAAAAAAGAGGCCTTTAGCCAAAAATAGGAAATTTGGTGATCTTTGCATACATTATAAGAGTGTGAGCTAATGAGCCTTCTAGTAAAAACAAAAAAAGTTAAAAACCAAAAGAAGGGTGGAATGCAATTGCATATTGTAAACTAAGAATTGCAAACAGACATTACGAAATTGCATATTGTAAACTATTGTAAACTAAGAATTGCAAACAGACGTTACGAAATTGCATACATATATATGCAATTGCATATTGTAAAATAAGAATTGCACATACAGGTTTATGCATATGGATATTGTAAATTGATAATTGCACACATGTGCTATCAAATATGCAATATATGCCCACAAAAACCATTAAACATTGCTAAATTGTTGATTTTATTCATTGAACTTGTATCCAATTTTCAATTTATGGCATGACATTTTTTTATAAAATTACGGATATGAATTTGTCTTTATCGCCAATGTCTCCTCCGCCATTTAATTCGCTAACATTTCGTCCAATTTATCATTAAATATGAGGGCACGTTGGTCATTTCATACGTTAAGCATATGTTGCTTCGATTCAGCTGCACCAAAATGGATTCAGCTGCATCCTCAACTTGTGATACTCGCAAGTGCACGAGCCGTTTGGTAGTATAGCATATGTAAGTGCGAGGTCGATCCCACGAGGATTGGTGATTGAATGATCCAATTTGTTTCCCCTACACAAAATAGAAATGAAAAAGAAAATAAATAAAACAAGAAAAAAAAAGAAATAACTCAAGCAAATAAGTTCCCAAGTTCAATTAGATTAACAGATTGATTCTAGCTAAAGTATGATTAAGCCATGGTGTTTGGTCCTAACCTTGTGTTCCTAATTCCCTAATTTGATCATTTGTTGTCTAACCTAAAA